CCTGGTTTATTTTTTATCTCAAACTGATATGGCTGTAATCTTATACGCATTCTTTGTAGTCTTACAGGGCATTTATTTAATGGCTTTTTAAAAATTGATTCCAGTGGTTTATGATCACTTTCCACAGTAATATTTTTTCCAAATATATACTGGTGAAATTTCTCACACGCAAATACAATAGCTAAAGTTTCCTTTTCAATTTGAGCATAATTCTTCTGTGTATCTGTTAATGCCTTAGATGCATATGCCACTGGTAAATTATTCTGCAGTAAGTAAGACTGCTCCAAGTCCTTCTTGAGATGCATGTACAGATAAAACTACTGGCATGTTTATATCATAATACTGTAAAACTGGTTTATTTACCAAGACATCTTTTAGTCTTCTAAATGCTTTTTCATGTGTTGCATTCCAGTTCCAGATAACTTGTTTTTTTTCAACAAATCTCTTAAACATGATGTCAATTCTGATACATTAGGTATAAATCTAGAAACATATGTAATCATTCCTAGGAAAGTTTCTAATTCTTTCACATTTTTTGGTGGTTTTTATATCTAGAATAGCCTTAATTTTGTCTTCATCTGGTTTTAAACCATCTTTAGAAAATATATGTCCCATATATTTCACTTCATTCAGCCCAAATTTACATTTATTTAAATTAAATTTAACATTCTTTTCTCTGGCTCTGTCCAACAACTTCTTTGAATCTTTCTTTCTGGCTCTGTCCAACAACTCTTTAATCTTGAATCATGTTCTTTTTATCTTTACCCCAAACTAATAAGTCATCTATATATATTTGAACTCCTTCTAAATCACTAAAAATTTCAGAAAAACTTCTGTGGAAAACTTCTGGTGATGAACTCAGTCCATATGGCAACCTCAAAAAACAATATCTACCAAACGGAGTGTTAAATGTAGTAAATTCACAACTTGAATCTGACAGTTTAATTTGCCAAAATGCTTTGTTTGCATCTAAAATACTAAAGACCTTTGCATTTGTCATTTGAGATGAAATTTCTTCAAAGGTTGGTATGTGATAATGTTCTCTCAGTATATTTTGGTTAAGGTGCTGAGGATCTAAACACACTCTTAAATTTCCATCCTTTTTCCTTACTACCACTAATGAATTCACGAATTCTGTTGGTTGGTTAACTTTCTTTATAATACCATCTTTTTCCATTCTTGCTAATTCCTTTTTTAATGGATTTAATAAGCTAAGTGGAATTTTCCTACAGGGTTCTATTTTACCAACAGCTCCTGGTTTTAATTTAATATGATATGTATATCCAGTTAAATTCCCAGTTCCTTTAAACAAATCTTGATATCCTTTTAAGATTCTGGTAACTTTTCATTGGAATCAGGATTTACTGTACAAATCCTTTGTATTAGGTTTAATTTTTGCAATGTAGGTAAACCTAAAATAGCTGGAACAGTTTTATCACATGCTACAACTTGAAATTCTATTTCATCCTTGTCCCCTTTCGATGTTTCACATAATAATTTACATTTTCCAACTACATCAATTGTAGTACCATTGTAATTATTTAAAGTGACTTTTGATTTAGTCAAACATTTCTCTCTTAAATTTAATTGTTTAAATTTAGGCAATGGTAGCACATTACACTGAGCTCCAGTATCCAACTTAACAAATAAATATTTAGATATGTTTACTTTTAGTTTTTCAAACCATTCGGTTTTATTTTTAGAAAATGGATTTGTATCTTCTACTGACCCTAAAATATATTCATTACCATTATTATGTAACTCATGCTCTAAATTATTCTGTACAACATTAACATTTTTATAAGTGCACATTTTAGAAAAGTGATTTTTCTTTTTACAGTACAAGCAAATCTTATTATAAGCAGGACAGTTGTATAACTTATGAAAAGTTCCACATTTTCTACATGGTTTTGGATTATTGTACTTATTTCCTTGATAGTTTGAAGAAGATTTAGTACTTTGTTGCTTTTGTTTTACATGATAAGTCTTTCTTACAAGGCTGACTTTTTCCTCTCTGAAGGTCGAAATTTATTACGTTTGATAGCTTCTATTTTATTTTCTTCAGTTAAAGTTTTCAGCTGAAGTTCTGCTAATTCAGAAGCTTTACACATTTTAATACATTTCTCCAATGTTAACTGATCTTCCCTTAATAATCTATCTTTGAGATTTTTATTTAGAATTCCACTTACTATTCTATCCCTTATTAAACTATCTTTTAATTCTGCAAATCCACAGTTGCTACTTAATTTCTTTAAATCGGTTAAGAAATCATCAAACGATTCACCTACATGTTGTGTTCGACAGAAAAATATATGTCTATCAACACTTTCGTTTGCTTTCGGTATGCAAAAATTTTCGAAAGCTTCAATTACTTTGTCAACATCCTTCTTATCTTCTTCACTTAAATTAAAAGTATTAAATTTTTCAAGTGCTTCTTCACCAATTATATGCAATAAAATAGCTACTTTAATTTCAGGTGATTTAGTAATACCACCAGACGCTAACATATAAATTTGGAATTTTTGTTTCCATTTCTTCCAATTTTCGCTTAAATTTCCTTCGAAACTTAGATAACTTGGTGGCTTTAATCCATCCATATTTAATTTAGGACTTTAAATAGTTTATATATACGTATTTTTAGCCACTTCTAATAAAAATAAACAACTCGCTTACCAGCGATATAAGTTTCGATTTCATAGTAAACAACTTCCCATGATGTTTTTTTTTTAGAACATCTTTACCGAGGCTGCATGGTTCTTCAAAAAAGATTTTCTTTTTTAATCAACCACGGGCTGCGCCATGTGTTGTATTTTATGTGTTGGGTACGTGCTCAGTGATGATTACAAGATGTACACAAACATCGTTTATTCTACATTACTCATCTACTATACTATATTACAGTTACGATTAAAGATAATAATAGATACAGTTACAGTTACATATATAACAGTGGTTGCATTAATACATAAGTACCCTTTAAAAGAGCCCTTTTGAGTTATCATTAAAATCCAAACCCTTTCAGATTTTTTTAAGAATATTTTTAAATTTCATTAAAAAAAAAATTACCTGATCCGTCGGCTGCTTTTGAACTGTGCATTTGGCCCACATGCAGTTTGAGCATGAGACTGTTGTTCTAACCCATAGTGCAGTAATGGTGAACTTATGGCAAACTTGCTACAGTTGGGATGCAGAGCCTCATCAGCTGGTATGCGACTAAAATATTACTTCCTTAATCAATAATCACAAGAAAATGATAATATATAATTTAAATAAGTCTGCTCTTGAACATTTCACTTACTTACTTTTCTTTACTTACGGCTTACTTTTCACGTACTTACTTACGGCACTTTAACACCAACCACAAGATTGTTGCCGAGCTTGATGAAGCTGAAAAGAAGGTATTTATTGAAGGGAAATTGAGGAATTATAATTACCAGGAAAGTTGGTTTTGCAATTATCTTTCTAAAATAAACCATCTAACAACGACCAGCTTTCAAATTTCACTGGCAAAACATGGTAAACCGCTCTTCGATGGGGATTTAATCAAAGAGGTTTTGAACATGCCCCCCCCCAAAGGTTTTGAGCACATTGCCCCAAAAATATTCGCCACCACCTGCCATAGTGTAAAAAAGAGATGGAAAATGGTGTAATGCATGCTTATCATGAGGTTATAAATATCTCATCTATAGTTAATGTATTTATTGATAATGTTGCTGGTATCCCAAAGGCTGTTTTCTGAGCATTAAGTATTTGAAGGTTAAAATGCCTGAGATAGCCTTTCATTCAAACGCCCAAGACTGCAATGTTGTTTTCATCTATCCCCCTAGGGTATGCAGTAGCAGTTTTAGTCCCCCCCCCCAAAAAAAAATCATGGGCATTTTCCTGGTTTTTCGCATGTGTAACGTGTATACGAGCCAGTTTCCCTTAGAAAGTCCTCCACGAAGGCATCTCCCCTATAGGCAGATAGCCCCTGAGCGTTTGCCATAATCACATACACATACACACACAGTTTCCCCAAATGCATTTTATCAGTTTATTACAAACAGTTTGTCCTAAAAGGATTTATTTGTTGTTTCTTATCTTCAGGTTGCATGTGACGTTTGAAGTCTTCAACCTCATTGTGCATTAATGCATGGGGAGGGGAGGAAAGTGCTGTGAATCTTGGAAGGCCTTTTGGTATTTTAAGTAAACAGTTTAGGCTTCGGTTTGCTAAGGTTTAAAGAAATTAATTAAATTTCTGTAAAACAAAGGTTACAAAAATTTATGTGGCAATGCCAGTATACAGATTCTAGTGTGCATTTTTAATCAAATTTAGCTTTTTATTTAAAAAAAAAAAAAAGAATCCCAGCTTAAATTTAAACAATTTGTGTTTAAATGAGTTGAATTTATTTTATTTCATTATATTAAATGTATTGTTTACTCTTATTGCTTGTAATAAGTTTTCATTTTTAATAAGCTTTCTTTCTTGAAAAGTTCTTAATTAATCCTCCAATTCTTGAAAACTTTTTAACATAGTTCTAGTACATTTTAAATTTTGATTTAAAAAAAAAAAAAAAAAAAAAAAAATCCGAATTGCTGGTGTAAAAACAACAAAAAGAGCTTAAGCTAAGATTTGGAATGGAATGTTATTGCGTTAAATCCAGTCACAATAAATGGTTATTATATTGTTATTTTGGTTATTAAATTGAGTTTCTTTTCATGAAGCAGAAATAATACAGATTTGTGTAAGAATTACTAACTACAAAATTTAGCAATCCCCCCCCCCAAGTTTTTGTGTATATATCCAGGACTTAATTTACAGAGCTGGAATAAAGGTGAAGTAAATTTATGTGAATATTAAGTTTGAATGTGGCTTTATATATTGTGCATAAATTTCATAAATGTTCCTATTCTATTTCACTGCTTGAAGTCAGGTACTTCAGGTTGTCACTATGCAGATGCATATTTTCAAAGGATTATAAATATATGTTATTTATCTTTTTAATATTCTCGTTTTTTAGGAAAAGAACAAGATTTTGTTTGACAAATCAATTGCAGACATGGAAGATATTTTGTCAGTGGATGCTTTAAGTATGTTTTTTATTTTCTGGGATGCATTCGGTTTGTAATTCAAATACTTATTCTAACTCAAATATTTTTAAAGTTTTATAGTTATAACTGTGCTTAAAAAGGTTTGAAAAAATCACAGCTTTGCATTTAAAGTCAGAAATTAGCAATCAGATTATAAGATTAATATAATATGATTTATATTATTGTACGATTATTATATAATTATCTACGTTATAAGATTATTACAGGGTCTTCAAAACTAGATTAGCTCTTATCTAGTTTTGAGCACAACTAATTTAGAAGAATTGATTGTGCTCAACCACCTATTTCAATTGCTTTTTCAAAGGTTAAAAAAGGTTTTTTTAATTTCCCCCATTTCAATTGAATGAGATACAAAATAGTGGAGATCACAACTTCTACATGGGTAGCATTTTCAGAATATCCTTAGAAAGATTCCAATTTGGTGAAATTCTAACACTTTCAAATTGGTTGTGAACATCTATAAATATGTTTCTTTTATAAATTTATCCCATAGTCATTATTCCAAGTCACCCTGCTAACTGATTTAGATGTGATAAACAATAATATAGCAGATGGAACAACAATATTCTTGGACTGCTGGAAAAAGTTATAAAGCATCTGAGTAGAAAACTGCAAGATATGGTCACTTCACAGTGACTCATTCATTTATTTTTGTTGAATCAGTCTCAGGTTTGTCAAGCCTAGTGTATGAAATGTTTCAGGGGCTGTGTTAAATAGCTGAACAAATCCAAAGCGACATTGCTCATTAACATATTGACTCCTACTTAGTAGAATTCATGTGGTAGCACATACATCTGAAGGCCTAAATGTTTTCTGCCATACTAGTGAATATTTGTAAATTTAATGTCTCCTGTCTAGTTTCCTAGTTGTAATAATAAATGTTATTGTAATTATATAAATACTATATATGAAATAAATGTGTTGCCATCTATAAACTATTCATAGAACTAGGAATTGTTTGCAATTAAAAAACCTGCCAAAATGCACTGCAACTGCATAATAAAAAATTAATGAAAATTTCAATCATTAAACAGGTTCGTATGATTCTTAAAGGTACTTAAGTTTACAGGACATCGATTCAACGTAGATGATAAGTTGAAGTTATGGAATCCCATTCGATAGAAAAAACTCTTTCCCAAACAATAGTCATCTTGGGATGGTCCTGACACAATCCTTAACAAAGATGTTATAGTTCAGATTCATCAAATTTTAAGCTTGAAGTCATTCACTACGACAAGCTAGCCTCTTACTATGGCCATAGTACAGTCAAAAGTATTTAATCCGGACTCGTCGGGACTTCGGCGATTCCGTATTATAAATTTTTCTGGATTATAGATCATCAGTTTAAATCTGGTGGGATGGCATGCAGAAATTATAAAATAAAAATATGAAACCATAATTTATAAAATAATGAGCAATTATGATCTAAAGGGTATCAAAATTTACAAAAAAAGAAGCTTAATATTTATTTGTTTACTTTATTAAACATTTCTTTCAACGTGCGCATGCGTAAAGCATACCTTACGCATAGCCGAAATTAGAAAATTGCAACCAGAAAACTATTTGATTTGTATTTGTGATATTTATAATGACGAGGAATTTTATTTAAATCATATCAAAGACAGAGTACATCGAGATTAAATACTACATTTAGTAAGGAATTATAAGCCGAATAAAATAAAAACATCTGCCCTGAAGATAACGATAGTGCTGACAGATCAACTTCCAGTTCATTTGCCCCCCCCCCCTCCCCCCCCCCCCGCACAGAGCAGCGTGAAATTGATAAACAGATTTCGGAACGGTTAGATAAACAAAGGATATGCCTTTATCAATTTTTTTGTAGCAATTCGTTTTTTGTTTGATGGACATCGAAGCATACTTTCGTTTTCTAGATCCTTTGGGAGCTCCAGCATCGGAAATTCTATTTGACATAATCGAAAGTTCAAGCTTACTTTTATAAAATTGCTCTTACAGTCTGCAAAAAATAATAAGCCGGATCCAATTCGGAGATTAAGGAACAACGCAATCATCAACATTAACTGAAATAGATAATTTTAGCTTATACCGTCCGTTATACATTAAACGCGCACACGAAAACGTATTCTGCGCTTGCGCAGACGCATATGCGCAGTCATAAATGTCTTGCGCGCACGCGTAAAACGCCCATGCGCATGCATCAACACGATGCATGCGCAGAAAGATTTTAGCTTTGAGGTCCGGATTATGGGTGCCCGAATTAATGACTTTTGACTGTATATAATCTCCATAGTGTTTGTAATGTAAATAGTATACTAAGACCTTATTAAATTTAATGTTTGATTTGTTTTATGTTTACTGAAATTATTGTTTCAGTATTGCATTGATTTTCCATAATTGTAAGTATGGCTTCCCGTCCACGGATTGTGCTGCCCAGGACATCCGTGGGAAGGGAAGAATGTTACGAATTTTGTACACAGACATATGACTTTAGTGTAATTATATGTGAAATTGTTATATTTTCTATAAAATATAACATGAAAATCTAGAGAGACAAAGCCTGCAGGAAAAGTATGGGTTAGAGTAGAGAGAAGGGTAACCCTTGTATTATCGCCAAGTTGTTGTTTCATTTATGGTAGCCTGAGTAGTTGAATGTTATGGAAACCCTATTATGATGTAATCGGTTGCATTATTGCCGTAAATTCGTAAGTGCTTGTGGCGTGTGTGTTGGCTAGGAATTATATTGCTTGTTTTCTGGTTTAGGCGGTAAAATGTCTGAATGTGGTAAGGTTAATTTGAAGTTTCTGTATGATTTGGAATGAAAGGGGAACAGAGCATTGCTTTACTGGTGTGTAAATGAAGGTTTACTTAGTAGCCATTATTAGGTATCCTGTTTGTATGAAGGAAATGCGTATGGTCGAACGTCGCTATGAAAGATATTTTTTGCTCTTATTTTGTCAATTTATGTGGCGACGCCAATATACAGATTCTAGTCCAGATAATTTTAGGAAGTTTTTGGATGCTGTTAAGGAATTTTTTTTGACTGAAGATGTGTTAATTTGTAAATAAGATAAGTGGATATTTCCTTTGTGTAGTGCAAAGATGAAGTTCCTTTTTTATGTTATTTCATTGTTTGATTTAAAATGTAGTTTATTGAGATTATATATATTTTTTTGTTGGCTGCTCCTTTGATTTTTTTAGTGAATATAGTTCGATTGTACATGGACAAAGGGAGTGCACATTGCCTAGTTTGTGCAACTCTGATTCTTTTTTAAGTGAAAATAGGTCGATGTGTACATGGATAAAGTCAAGGAAGTGCACAATACCAAGTTTATGCAATTCTCTGATCTTTTTAAGTGAAAGTAGATTGATGTGTACATGTATACCGAGTTTGTGCAATTCTTTGTCTTGTTATTTTGGCTTTGTGTAGCCACTACACAAGCCAAAATAACAAGTCAAAGAATTGCATAAACTCGGTATCCATGTGCCGCCAAAAATTGCCAATTTTCGCTAAGTGCTACCCGTAAATATATTTTTACCAAACTAAGAATACAGGGGAAAGTCTATTTAACATTGAGTAAATGGATGTCTTGCTAGCAAGATATTGCTAAGCTAGCAGTGGTTTTAGCAAATACTTTTTGTCACCAAATTCTACGAGAAATCGCCAAATGTCACCAACCAAATTGTTAGATATGTGCATTTAATTACTTTGTAATTTTGACCTTTTTTTTTTAAGAGAGAGGGGGGTAATTTGGCTGTGGAAAACAATTCTCTTTTGTAATGTTTATATAAAAATTTAAGTGTGTGATAATTTTAATAGACACAATTTATGACATTTTTGGATTATAATGAATGCTGTTGTAGTTAATGTGATAAATTATGGTTAGATTTAAAATTTTGACTTTATTGTGCAAATTTAAGACATACATGTATTCATCATAATTTAATCTCTCTTTTTTTTTTTTTTTTTTTTTTTTTTTTTTTTTTTTTTTTTTTTTTTTCAGGTGAGAAAGTTCAACAAATGAGCCTTGTTCTTGCACATGTTAAAAAAATAACAATGGAAGTTGAGAAGATCAAATACATTTTGAGAGATAATGTCGTTGGAGACTTTTTGAATATTCATGTTGATTTTCACAGGTTAGTTTATGAAACACATTAGTAAGAGAATTTGTTATGGTAGAGTTTGGGTCCTTAAAATAATTTTAAAAAATCTGCTAAGAAGAGTCAAATGAAAACCTTTAATGTTTTTTATCTTATAATTTATGGAATAATTAACTAATATTTTGCACCAGTTTTCAATGTAATCTCCTCAATGTACACTACAAGTTTTCTATTGCTTTAGAAGCATATGCATATCATTAGAAAATTGGAAAAAGTTACCTTCCAGTGTCTCTGAGTGAAGTTAAATACAAAATAAAGTACTCTAGGATAATAGGATAACATGCTGAAACCATACATAGACATAAGTAAGGGAACATTTGCAGATAGCCTGTCTGCTTGATCAGCTGGGGTTGGAATGAATGGTTTTTCAAGCTTGTTGTAATTTATTGGTTTCCACAGGGTTGCTGAATTCAAAATCGATGTGACATTGTATTATAAACATTTGTATTCATTTTAACTATAGGAGATCGTTAATTTGCAAAGAAATTCTTAAATGAAATACATGCTAAAACTAAATTTATACATTAATTAAATAAGAGCTTTTTCAATCAACTTGTTTGCTTGGAGCATCTCTGTTGGAACATGGTCTAATTTCAATTTTTAGGAATTCGTTGATTTTTAAGACTTCTTTTATGATGAGGGTGAAGTGGCTAGCACGTCGCGCAGCTGCACTGCAGGTCCGAGTTTCGATCCCCGGGCTGGGCAAGGTTAACTCAGGCTTTCGTCCCTTAAGTGAGTTGATAAAATGAGTACTGAGTTTGCTTAGGGACTGAACACCGGGAGGGGTCTTGCAACAAGCTGACCACTTGCCCAGGGCATATGCTGATCCACAACGAAGCCCAAGGGTCAAGAAAGAAAAAGGACACTGCAAGCTGTCGTCCACTAGGGCTGTTGCGCCACTGAGTTTAGTTTATTACAGGGTTTGTACAGTCCTTAAAAGTCCTTAATTTTTTCAAAAATGATTTTTGGTCCTTAAAGTCCTTAATTTTGGCCAAAATGAATAAACGGTCCTTAATTTTGCTCATTTGACATTTCTTATCATTTGTAATGATTGCCATTAAGTATGAATTACGATTTCTCATGAATATGGAATTAAAATTACACGGCTCTTAACCAATCTGTTGGCGGATTTGCGTTGCAAACGATTAAAAAAAACAATTAGCTACCCGAACGAAAGTATCAGTGTCTGATTGGCTATTCACCCAATCTTTCGAAACAGGTGTTATCCATAAATTTAGGCAGACTGTGACGAAAGCGTGAAGCCGGAAGTTCTTTAAGAGGCGAAAGTGATGATGAAGGTGCTCGAGAAAAAAAAAAAGGGGGGGGGAGATTCTGAAAATATTTGCCAAAATTAGAGCAATCCCAACCTGGAAGGCCACAACCCTTCCGACGCCAATAGGAACGAGATGCCTGGAAAGTGCATTTTCAATAAACTGTGGCTTCATCAAGCTGACTACAAAGACTGGATATTGATGGATGGCAATCCTTAAATGTGGTCTTTGTCTGAAACAAATTGAAATTTCTAGAATGGGAGAGTCAGCACTGAAAATTCACATGAAAATTAAGTTTCGTTTTATCATTTCAATTTGTTTTTACACGGTTTTGCTTAGCTTAATTTCTGTGTTTGTTTCAATTAAGCCATAAATTAATTTTTTATCACCTTCTACGGAGTTTATTCTCTTTTGCACATACTATATGTATGGGATATCGGGATTATGAGTTTATTTTCTGCAGAGGGTCTGTTATCGATTTCGCGGGAAATCTGTTGGCTCCATTTCGATTTTAGGTCGCCAAGGGCAAATTCGGTAACGCTAGCCGAGAAAAAGTGAAGTTCGGAAATACGTTTTGAAGCTTCAATAGACAATTAAGTATTTGGTTTAAACCTATGTTGTTGATAGTAATGCATAATTTTTGCTAATGGCGATACAATTATTAGTTGAAAATAACTAATTAAATTTTTTTTAATATTTTTAAAGCTGGAAACAACTAATTGAAACTAATTTTCCTGAGTTAACTAGATGCAAAATTAACTTTCATGAATTACTAAAGTTATTGGGTAGAAGTTTAACTGAAAATATACATTCCGTATTATATATATATATATATATATATATATGTGCAGTACAAAGTCCGAGGTCTGGACTCGTCGGGACTTCGGCGATCCCAGATTTGAGATTTTTTTTCCGGATATTAGATCATTTTAAATCTACTAAGATGGCACGTAGAAATTATAAAATTGAAAATATGAAATCGTGATTTATAAAATAATGAAGCATTTATGATTTAAAGGGTATCAAAATTTACAAAAGAAAAGACCTTAATATTTATATGTTTACTTTATTAAACATTTCTTTCAATGTGAGTTGTTTGATTTGTTTTCTCTGCTAATACTTTAGACTAATACTATAGACATATAATTTCTTGTTCAGTTATTAAGTTCCATTGTTCAAGTCCTGTAATTGCTGTGTCGAGAATTCCAAATAACTTGTCAATCAAAATTTTTTCTCGTTCAGTAACCTCTCTGTTACTTTGTTCACTATCGGTAGCTGTATTTTCTGGATTTAGAACCATACTACAGATTTCGCCCTCCGTTAATTGATTGATGATTGGGCATTGTCATCGCAATGAAAAACTTCTGTTTAACTTCGCTAAATTCTGCCGCCTGGTGCAGTCATGTGAGCTCTGTCGCTGGTTCTGGCTTTATGTGAATAACAAATCAGTTATTCTTAATTCAAATAGCACTAAATATAATCGTTTGTCCTATGAATATCATCAACAAAATCTATTTTTAGCATAAGGAAAGAAATTTCTGCTAAATCTCCCCTTGTCAACATTTTAGCGCATTAAACTTAAATCTGTAATCGGATAATACTCTGTTATTTGGCGTCGCTGCATGATTCATCACTCAAGTTGTCATCCGTTGATAAACATGCAGTGATGAAAGCAAAATACAATAAATAATGATTCGCGATTTCGGCATCAAGGATATAAAATATTAGTTGGTGTAAAATTAACAAATGTTTCGGTTTGAGATTATGCCAAGCAGATACGCAGCTATGGACTCAAGTTACTAATCACACAAATTTTTGCTAAAATAATTATTTCAATAATGAGATATTTTATTTAGCGCCAAACTGAGATTAAGAATCAGGATTTCCGACATGTTTTTTTATGATGAGGAAAAAAATCTAATGCGCAATTGGTTGGTGGTGGCTTTGAGGTCCGGATTTTAGATCATTCCAGATATTAGATGTCCGGATCTCGGACTTCGTACTGTATATGTATATATATACCAGTATGGATTCACTCTTTTAAAATAATTCTACTTTAATTAAACTTAGGAGATAATATAATCAATTAATCAATATTGTTTAGGAAATAAATTATATATATATATATGTAATGTTTTCAGTTATTCCAACACATCGTGGGCGAATGGTGAGGCTATTCCATTACACGTTCTGGCAGATGGTTAACGAAGCTGGGGTGATTGAAACACGGAGTAAAATGATGACTCAGGACTTTTCACTTTTAACAGCAAGCATATCTTTATTTTAATTTATAGCAGATGACTTTTTCCAGATGAAGTTAATCAAATAACTTATTCAGTAATTGAACTATTAGATACGACTGACTTTAATACATCATAACGTTCTAACAAAAGAAAGAGGAGCATAGCGGAAGCGTTAGCAGGACGAAGGCGAGAAGGCATCTGTCTAGGAGAACTTATGACGCAGCATTTATATGAAAGGTTATGTAATAGGCGTGAATGTTCTAGCAGGTACTGGGTTAGGGGACGATCCTGAATTGCAGAAAATTAATTAAAGGTTGCTGGTTCGCAAAGAGCAAAGCCATCGTATTTTTTTTATATTTTACATCTATATATAGTAAAAAATGTATATTTTCACTATTCAAGTATCCACTGTGACAAGTATTCTTATCTTGTCACATGCACGGGCCTCTGTGGAAAGGGGCTTCTCTGTAAATAAAGCAATTGAAATTGAAAATTTAAGTGACTCATCATACATTTTTCAACGCACAGTATTTGATTACATAAAATTTTCTGGAGGTGTTCTTAATATCGAAATTAATAAAGAAATGAGATCAGCAGCAGCTTCTGCAAGAAGTGGAGTTCAATATTTAGAAGTTCAGTATTTAGAAGAACGTTCAGTATTTAGAAGAACAAAAATCTTTAACTAAATCTGAAAATTCAAAGAGGAAAAGAAATATTATTGAGGAAGAAATTGATTATATGAAGCAGAAGAAAAAATTTCTTAAAAGGGACATTAAAGATATTAATGAAGAAGTAGACGCTTTAGCAGATGAAGCTGAGATCAGAAGGAACATTGATTTGTTTATCAAAGCAAATGAACTTAGAAGAATAGTTAAAGAAAAGGAAGATTTCAGATTTAAAAAAAGCACAAATGTTTTGTATCTTTTATTGTACAGTTTATTATTCTAGTATCTTTCAAAAAACCAAGGAAATAAATTGTATGTTTACAAATCAGTTATTTTAATCTGCAAAATATTCTTACATTGTGATTATAATAGTAGTTGACTGTGTTTAAATAAATATCAAATAAGTTAAATATAAATCATGTAAATCTCTAAAATAGTGACTGTTATTAGTGTAAAATACACTTATACATGTTTTTTCAAGAAATTATGTTCCTAATTTAATGTTATCTACTTCATAACTTGTAGGGAGTTAGTTTAATTTTCAAAATTGTTTTATGGTAAGTATTAAATTGAATTTAAATAATAGTGCATAATACACACTTCTGTTAGTTTTTTAAAGTGAAATTACAAGCATGAAGTCGGTTGTATGGATAATTGCTTTATCTATTCTTTTTTTTTTTTTTTTTTTTTTTTATAGCCTTAAAAGTCCTTAATTTTTATATGGAAAACGAACCCATGAGATCATCACCAAAAAATTTTTTTAACTTTATCCTCACTACAAGAGGTGTGTTTGTGCT